GAGCGCACGCGCCCTACAGTGAAAATCTCTCCAAAACAAACAAACAAACAAACAAACAATGATTTATTTATTCACTTAATAATAATCATCCTGTTTAAAGTCAGTCGCTATGCAAAAATAAACAAACAGATACACAGTAAATACTATCATAGTCAATCTTATTCAACTGCCTAGAGACCAGGGTTAGCTGCCCAACATCAATAAAATTTAAAGCTGAGACCCAATAAACATTTAACAGTTGCAGAAGAAGAAAAATTTTAAGAATTCTTTTTAAAGCTTATTCTTCGCAGGTTTATTAAACTCAAGAAAGTGCCTGAAGCTTTAGTTTAAATTAGATTAATTTAACATACTGGAATACTTTAATATACAATAACTAGAGGTTAAATTTATAAACAGTTTCTTTTCTTTCCTTTTTTTTTTTTTTTTAATTTTTAAAATTTGCTACAGGGCACGTGAGCTCACCAGAGAGACAGAGAGAAAGTGAGAAAGCAAACCATCAGGCTCAGGACTCAAACCATGTCTAGCCATGTAGGAGTCCAGCACTTTAAACACCACACCACCTGCTGCCCCTATAAACCCAGTTTATAAATGTAGTACCCCAATTTATGTGACACACCAAAATCCAAGTAATTTGATCAATAGAATAAAACTATTTTTGGGGGACCAGAAGGTGACATGGTGGTTAAGGTGCTGTACACTCCTGCATGCTGACCACGGTTCAAGTCCTGGATCTGGTGGCTTGCTTTCTCACTCTCTCTCTCTGGTCAAATTAAAATAAATAAATGAATAAATAAAATTATTTTAAAAAAATAAACAAAACTATTTTTTCTTAAATTGCCAGAAGGCACATACTCTCACCAGAGAGGGAGAGGGAGAGGGAGAAGGTATCCTCCAGTGTGATTACACCACATAGAAACCACCCCACGTTTTTCTACCCTGTTGATATTTGATGCATGCATGAAGACATGTCTGGAATGTCTCTCAAGCCACCAGAGTCAGGATTCGAACCACAAGGTCAGCCATGGGGAATCCAGCTCCCCTAACCAGTAGGCCACAGAGTCAGCCTCCAGAATTACTATTCTAAGAATCTGTCTTATACAAATCTGTGAATTGGGGCTAGCAGGTGACACAGTGGTTAAAACGCTGGGCTCCCACATGGCTGACCATGGTTCAAATCCCAGATCCAGTGGTTTAAAAAATTACACCAGGCACACGTGCGTGCATGCCTAAAATCCCAAGGAGACAGGAAGATGTGGCCATCTCTTCTGGGCAGTGAGTTCTCCTTTTCCCTCTCTCTGTCTCTCACTGGTGAGTTCATGCGCCCTACAGCAAAAACCTAAAAAAAAAAAAAAAAAATCAAACGAACAATTGTTGCGTTACATATGTAGTTAAATTCATTTCAATCTATTATAAGCAAAAGAAATGTCTTTCCTCTAGTCTCAAGGGACAAGTGCTATAATGAGTCTATGAAGAATCTACCTGGTCTTAAGCCTATAAATTCAAATATTGTTGCTGCTGGAGAACCAGAATAGCAAGTAATTTCTGACTTTGTCAGACAGGAACATAAAGCCCTCAAGTCAAAACACCAAACCTTTTCAAGCACAAATCAGGACCCTGTACAGGATGACTATCTCGTGCAGTGGATATTCTCATTGCTAGCAGGCAGCTCTGGGGCCTTGCTACCCAAAGTATGGTCCTAAACAAGCAAACTTAACAACACCTGGGAGCTTGTTAAGTCTGCACACACTTGGACTCCACCCTGGACCAACTCAAGTTTGAGACGTAGTAGCTTGAGACGACAAAGGATTAGAAAAATTTCTTAAACGTGATAGAAACATTAATAGGAAATAAAGAGGCAAGACAAAAAAGAATGAATTAGTAAGTGGCTGCCTCTGTACCTGGAGGATAAATTCAGAATGAAATAATCATCAAATTCTGTGTCTAAAATGGTCCAGGAAAGAGCAAATGAAGGGGTTCCATTTGAGTATACAAAAAAATATTAAAGGGGTAGGGGGTCTAGTAAGTCTAAAATTTGTTTTCTAACCTAAAGTATCTTTTATCCCCCTCCTTTCTGTGAAAAAGAGAGATGAGAAAGAGGGAAAAGGGAGAGAGATAGAGACGGTAGTTTTGAGTCTCGTGGTGTCAAGATTCTCTGGCTCCAGCTTTCCAATGAGCAAGGATTATAGGTGCCATGCCCAAAGTTTTCATATTGCCTCCCATGCAGCTTCCAACCTCCCAAGTGGTGGCACCGCCCATGCAGCTTCATCTCTAGCCTAAATGGTCTTACAATTACTTGGAGCTGAAATAAAATGGACACGAAAAAATTAATAAAGAACAGCAGGACTCAGATCACAAAGCAGCTAGAATACCCTGAGAGAGAATATCGAAAAAAATAAGGGGAAGACAAATCATTTCTGAGCAACCCTGGCTAAATCAAAATGTTCCTGCAGGAAAGCAGAGTACCACACGAATGCAAGGCTGAAGCCAGACTCAGAAAGAATGGAAATGCCAGACAAATTCCAGCAACAGAAACCAGTAACTGACAGTAACAAGATTAAAAGTTACTAATTGTTAAGTATTAACTATGTTTTAGATGCCCTTTAATGAAAATAAACATGAATTTCAAGAAAGCTGGGTTATTTTCCTTTACAATCTTTAACGTTTTAATTTTGCAAAAGAATATTCCAGTCCGGCCCAGTTAAGTAACCTAGTGGTTAAAGGAGCTGGATCCCATGTGGCTGACCACAGTTCGAATCCTGGCCCTGGTAGCTTGAAAAACATGCCAGGCACTTGTGTGAGTGTGCCCAAAATCCTGACAGGGTGGAGAAATTGAGGAAAAGGAACTGTAGTGTGAATTCCATTCCATTTTAGGTATCAGCTTTCTCCCTCTTACTGTCTCTCTGGCAAGTGCACATGCCCTCTGGCAAAAAAAAAAAGAAGAACTGTTTTAAATAAAGAGCATTTCTAAGTCTTATTCATTTTCCAGATGAAGAGGCTCACACAGATTAATTTGTCCAACAAGTAAGTAGTAACTAGTAGAGACAAGAACTAAACCTAGTACTCTAAAAGTCTCTAACTTCTTTCCACTATATTATACAGTCTAAAGCTTCTTGAGAAGAAGTATTTAGGAGAACACAAAAAAGAAGTATTTAGGAGGATCAAGTCCATAATATACCGAATGGTGGTGCTGGAAGGATGGAGTACAATTAGGAAGCTTCGGTAAAAGTAGAGCGCCCAGTAAATTCTTGACAATGAGAACAGAAAACGAGGCAGATGTTTTTGGAAGAATTCAGATGGCACACAGTGTGTTGGGGTGGGGAGTGGAGAGAGGAAAAAGAGGCTCAACATTTTGAGCTTGGATGATTTGACAAAACGCTGTACCAAGCAGGGCAGTCAGTTTAAAGCAGTTTTCACTACAAAAGTAACCAGGTAACTATACTGTTTCAGGACATATGTGCTAAGAGAAAGCAAAGGGGCTACCCAATGATTTAGCTAAGTAAAAATCCATTATTCTTGTATGGCCTTTAACTCAGAAAAGTTAAGCAATTTGCCCTTTTCTTAACTGTGTTATTATCCCACACCCAACAGCAGTTCACAGCGTGCTGTCTCCCCCTGCCAAGCACAGTCCAGGAAGAACTGCCTTGGGAAGTCTGAAGAGCCAGGAGACCCTGAAACTCATATCCTGAATGCCTTCATGGTAGGGGTGGGAGGACACAGAACAGGGAGCAGGGCCACTACCCAGCAGGGTAATAAAGTCCTGGGCGTTTTACTACCTAAGGACACTTGGTTCTGGCTCCTACACAAAGAAACAGGTGATCCTGATTCTGGCTCTCACACAAAGAAATAGGTGATCAACTCAAATAACAAAGATTTGATTTTTCACTTATGACCCCAGGGGCATCGAACTCAGACAATCTGGGACCTCTGTTTGACAGAAATTACACCATCTTATAACGATCTATTTATGTGCCTAATTTATTCATGCTGTGATCCCTGAACCTAACCAAGCGCTAGCACTGGGACCTCCATTCGGTAAATGCTGAGTGAATCCATTTCTGTTCAGGACTTTTCAGAGAACACATGCTACTATCTCTTTCCGTTTTCAAAGTAATCTGTGCTCTCTTCCTCCCCCAAGGGAGATGTCCACGTAAGAAAACGAGGCTCCGGCCTGCCGGAGCGTATCCAGACACCCTTGGTAAACGCTATGTTCCCCTCTGTCCCCTCTGAAACGCTTCGCCCCGGGACGCCTATCCTGATACAATACAAACAACGCTTCGAGAACAGCACTCTCTCGGAGGCCTATCTTCCCTTCCTCAACGCAAAGGAAGCACTGCGAGGCGTCGGGACGCGTCCAAGGTCACCTCAGCGGGCAGAAGGGAACACTACTGACCCCGAAGAAGGCCGACTACGCCCTGCGTCGTGAGGAGGCTCTGAGGCTCCACCAAGCCTAAGCCTGGACCTCATCACCATCCACCGCAAGGTCACAGGGGTGCTGGGTTGCCGGGCGAGCCTCGCGCGGCCGCGGGGTCCAGGCAGAGAAGTCCTCACTGCCCATACCAGTGAGCCCACACCGACAAGCGTAGGGCTGAGTGTGGCCCGCACCTTGGAGGACTGGGCAGGGCAGGACGAGGGCCGTGGGCATAGGGGCCAAGAGAGGCAAGGACTACGGATGAGGCTCACCAGGGCTCTCGCGCGTATTCCTCCATCTTGGCTCCAGCGGCGCGAGCGATGCCGGGCAGGCTGGGCGGAGCCTGACCCCAGCGACGGAAGTGATCCCGGGAGGCGGGCGTTAAGGTCTATGGAGATTGGCTCACCGTTTGTCCCCGCAGCCAATGGGCGCCGGGACTCCTGGGGAAGTATGGGGCGGGGCATTGGCCCTGGGGCGGGGCTGTTTGAGCCCTAGCCCCGCCCTAGCCCCGCCCAGGTCCTCAGAGTCTGCGGGTCTGGGCCCTAAGAACCGTGAGCTACCAAGTGAGAGTTCAAGTTACCCAGTCACCGAAGGTTCTTTGTCCTGAGATGAGTATTATTCCGCTAGGGCTCACCAGTCTTCCTAAATATTTTTGGGGGTATTTTTGATGTCATTTGTGAATCTGTTATGAATTGGGAAGCTCTTACCAACTTTGTGTAGCTCCTTTAAGAGAAATGATACCTCTGTCCTTTGTCATCGTGGTGCCTGGACTGTAGTAGGTGCTCAATAAACATTTGTGAACCGGAACCAGATGGGCTGTTAGAGTGCTGTGACTGATGTGGGCCCTCAGTTTGAAGGTCATCACAACAGCGCCTTCTGCCACACCTCCCACCTGATGGTCACCAGAAGGGGTGAGGGATGTACTTTACCAAGAGAAGACTGAAAGGACTCAGACCCCTCGGCCTCTTACAGTTTGTAGACATGGAAACTCCAGTCATGCAATGTCTGCTAAAAGAACTTCTCTCTAAGCTAGCAGATGGTGTGGTGGTTAAGGCGCTGGACACCCACATGGTAGACTACAGTTCGAGTCCTGGACCGGTGGCCTGCTTTCTCACCTTCTCTTTCTCTCTCTCTGGTCAAATTAAAAATAATAATACATAAGGTTAACTAAATAATTTTAAAAAAGAAAAAAGAGGGGCCAGCAAATGGAATAGTGGTTATGTTGCTGGACTCCCACAAGGCCAACCATAGTTTAAGTCCCAGATCCAGTAACTTCAAAATCATACCAGGCACAAGATCCCAGGAGGAGAAGAGATTGCAGCATGACCATTCCTCATGGAGGATGATTTCTCACTTTCCCGCTCACTGTCTCTGTCTTCGTCTCTCTCCCTCTGGTGAGCACATATACCCTAAGGCAAAAACCTTAAAAAAAAAAAAAAAAAAAAAAAAGCTCCTCTCCATTCTGTCCTCGGGTTGACTTTAAAATACTTGTATATATTTGATTTATGGGAAAGTCCGTGTAATAAAAGCAGTCAATGAGACTGTGGGGAAGAGAGAGTTTCCCTCAAAAAGCTTGGAAATAGGTAAGGAGCTGACGTGAATCCTCCATAAAACCATAGATTATCAGTAAGCATGACTTGTATGTGGAAGAACAGTTCAAGCTAACCACCTAGTTTGATGTGTAATCATCTCGATTTAGATGTGTAAGTCCAGGCCTATTTGGAACATAGGACTAATTACAAACACTGATTAATTTTACAGGTTGACGAGAAACTCAGCGAGAATCTGATGTTTAGTCAGCACTGCAAACCCAGTGGGTATAAATATTTCAGCAACTAGAGATTTACAGTCTCACGGGGCAAGGGTATATTTTTGTTTGTTTCCCCTGGACCCAGCTCCCCTTAGCTCCAGCTACCTCCCTTTGCCTATTCATTATACAATGTCCTGATTATTATTTAGCTTTGGAATAGATTTCTTTTTTAAAAAAATAATTTATTCAATTTTATTTATTCATTCATTTATTTTAATTTGATGAGAGAGAGAAAAGAAAGAAAGTGAGAAAGCAAGCCACCAGTTCAGGGACTTGAACCGTGGTCAGCCATGTGGGAGTGTCCAGAGCCTTAACTACCACGCCACCTGCTTGTCCCTGGAATAGATTTCTATGTAGTAGAAATGGCCTGTGTCCATAACTACGTTTGTCCATTTAAGTGTTAATATTTGTTTGCTCATCTGCGAGCTTGGTTCTTTTGACCAACTACCAGAATAATCCGGGTTCTCCAGAGAACCAGAGAGGTATGATAGGTCTAAGTGGACTCACCTGATTATGGATGCTGTGAAATCCCATGGTTTGCATCTGCAAGCTGGAAACCCAGAAAATTTGATGGTGTCCAAGTCCAAAGGCTCAAGATCCAGGTGAGCTGATAATGTAAATCCCACCCAAGGGCAGGAGAAGCCAAGATGAGCAGTCCCAGCTCAGTAGTGAGGGAGGAAAAGAGGGCGAATTCTGCCTTCCTCTGCCTTTTGTTTCAATGGACTGAAGGATGGCCAACCACCTTGGGAGGCAGTTTTACTGAGTTCCTCAGTTCAAATGTATTCCTCCTCTGAACAACTCTTGCAGATACATCCAGAAACACTGTTTATTCTGTATACCCTGTGGCCCTGTCCCGCTGACTCATAAATGTAACTGTCACAGGGATGAGCCTGAGCCTCTGAGTTTACACAGCTGAAGTCTAGACTGTAGGCTGTGGTTACCCACTCACTTGTTACAGCAGTCCCTATCCTGAAGAGTCAGCTGTTCTGGGAGGCCCTGTTCACGTGACCAGCAAACAATCTTAGACTTCTCACTTTCTGCTCTCATTGATTCATTCATTTATATTTCTTCATCAAAGTAATTTTATTATTTATTTTTAATTTTTATTTTATTTATATTTTTGGTTTTTGCTTTAGGATGTGTGTGCTCACCAAAGAGCGAGAGAGCGAGAAAGAGGAGGAAAGTAAGAAATCCCCCCGGGGGGGGATGGCCACAGTACAATCCCTTTTCCTCCAGTCTCCTCTTGGAATTTTGAGCATGTATACACATATGCCCAGCATGATTTTTCAAGCTGCCTGAGTCCAGGACTCAAACAACACAGCTGGCCATGTAGGATCCAGTGCCTTAAGCTCCATGCCACCTACTGGTCCCCAAATTAATTTTTTTAATTGGCATATAAAATGACGGGACCAGCAGTTAGCGTAATGTCTATGTCACTGAACTCTCATGTAGCCAACTACGGTTTGAGTCCCGGACCCAGTGGCTTAAACTCATGCTGGGGGCATGTGTCCAAGATCCCAAGAGGAGAATGAGGAGAAGGGATTTTGGTGTGGCCATCCCCCCTGTGGGGGTGATTTCTCGCTTTCTATCTCTCTCTTTATGTCTTTCTGGTGAACACATATGCCCTATGACCTATAGCACAAACCTCTCCAAAAAAAAAAAAAAAAGTCATGTATATGGGGCCAGCAGGTGGCATGGTGGTTAAGGGAGCTGGGAGCTGCACTCCCATATGGCCAACCACGGTTCAAGTCCCAGACCTGGTGGCTTACTTTCTTGCTTTCTCTCTCTCTGTGTCTCTCACTCTGTCCCTCTCTGGTCAAATTAAAATAAATAAATAAAGTTAAATAAAATAATTATTTTTTAAAAATCCTCTTAAAATATTATGTATTTGCCATGTACAACATGGTATTTTGAAGAATATGTACATTGTGGAATGGCAAATGTATACTCTCACAGTTATTTTTATGGCAAGAACACTTAACATCCCTTTCTTAATGTTTTTCAAGAACACAATATTGGACCAACTGGTGGCATGGTGGTTAAGGGGGCTGGGTCCCACATGGCTGACTGTGTGGTTCAAGTCTCAGACTCGGTGGCTTGAAAAACATGCTGAGCACGTGTGCATATATGGCCAAAATGCCAGGAGGAGAATGCCAAAGAAGGGATTGTAGTGTGATTATCCCCCTGGGGGGTACTTTCTCACTTTCCCCCTCTCTCTGCCTCCACCTCTCTCCAGTGACACACACACCCTACAGCAGAAACACCCACAATATATTGTAATTAATTATAGTCATCATGCTGTACAATCTATCTGTTCTCTTTTCATTGCAACAGATGGGACCAGCAGGTGGTGCGGTAGTTGGGGCACTGACTCCTACAAGGCAGACTGCAGTGTGAGTCCCGGACCTGACAGCTTGCTTTCTCACTTTCCCTTTCTCTCTTTCTGGTGAGTGCACATGCCCTGTAGCAAATTTAAAAAATAATAATAATAGATAAAATTAATTTAAAAATTGCAACTGATAAGAGGACATTTATGGCTGACCTGGCCTAGGATTGAGCCTTTGTTGGCTAGAGGGGGAAGATGCCACCCCTTCCTCAAAAACAGTCATTTCCATTTGGTACCAGGGTGCTGAGTGAAGAAACCGTCTAGAAGGAGAGATTGTACTCGGATCCTCTCCTAGTGAATTTTAAAGAAGTCTAAGGGACAGCGGTGGCCCTCACAGAGGAAAGGTTCATGATACAAAAGACTGCTAGAAGAAAGCTGTGGAGGCCCTCGAGAGAAAACTCACCGTAAAGTGAGAGGAGTTCGAACTGCCGCCTCGGCACGCTAGGCGTCTTCTGTTAGAACTTAGTTTTCTGAGGCCAGACCACAGTGTGGTGGTTGAGGAGGTTGGATCCTTCCTGACCGACAGCATGGTTCAAGTCCTGAATCTGACAGCTAGAAAAACATGCTTTGTGTGTGTGTGTGTGTGTGTGCCCAAAATCCCGAAAGGAGGAATGAAAGAGAAGGGATTGTGGCTTTTCCCCATGGAGCAAGGGGTACTTTCTCATTTGCTCTCTCGCTCTCTCTCTCTGTCTCTCTTTGGTGAGCACAAACACCCTCTAGCAAAAAAAGAAAAACAAATTTCGTGTTCTGGGCCCAGCGTGGGACTGCCACAGCACATCCTTGTTGTCTTCTACGTTTGGATAAATACACACGCTGATGTTCTGACAATGACGAAGTCACCTAAAGACACATTTTTTAAAAAGAATTATTTATTTAATTTTATTGAAAAAGAGAGTAAGAGAGGGAAAGTGAGAATGCAAGCTGCCAGGTCCAGAACTCAAACCAACATCAGCCATGTGGGAATCTAGCACTTTAACCATTTTGCCACCTGCTAGCCCCTAAAGATGCATTTATTTATTTATGTATTTCCTTTTTTTGAATTATTTCATTGAATTTATTTATTATTATTACTTTAAAAAAAAAATTGGCCAGAGAGAGAGAAAGGTAGAAAATGAGAACGCAAGCTGCTGGGTCCAGGACTTGAACTGTAGTTAGCCATGTGGGAGACCAGTGCCTTAATCTCCATGCCACCTGCTAGTTCTCACCCCATTTTTTTTAGAATCCCCATAGGGCATGTGTGTTTTCCAGAGAGAAAGAGACAGAGACAGCAAGAGGGAAAGTGAGAAATCACCCTACTGGGGGATGGTCACACCACAATCCCGTCTCCAATCTTCTCTTGGATCTTGGGCACACACACACAGGCACCCAGCATGAGACTCAAGCCACTAGGTCTGGGACTCGAACTATGGTCAGCCATGTGGAAGCCAGCAATGTAACCACCACACCATCTGCTGGCCCCAAGACACATTTCTTGAAACATGTCCCCATCAGTAAGGGATGCATGATTGTATATGAAATAAGATAATGCATGCGAAGTACTGGGTGGTATTGGAAAATTGCAAACACTCACTAATGCTTGCTATGGTTATATATGTTCATAAATTAATAAATATCAGGCCGGCCCCTTGGCCTAGTGGTGACCATACTGCCATCTAGCGTCCCCTGTTGCATCTCCCCAAAGCCCAGGTACTTCTCTTTTGAGGCATTCTGCAGACTTTTAATTCTTGAATATGTTATTTGTAGTAATTTGCTTAATAACTGCGTCTCTGGTAGGACAGATGCCCCTACAAAGGCAGGGACCCACTAATTTGGTGTCTTCAGTGCCATCCTTGCTCTTAGAACACTGCCTGACATACAGCAGACACTGGATAACTACATGTGTACTGACTGACTGGCTCATTGGTTGCTGCCTTAAAAATGACAAATCCTGCCCCCAGCATTCTCCAAGCCCTTCCTCCACTGCTCCTCTTAGCTCTTCCTGCTTCATGCTGTCCTCCAGTTCCACCAGTCAGCCCCACACCCCTCCCCAGCCTCAACCGAAAGTCGGACTAGCACACATTAAATGCCATGGCCAAGTTTGAGTCCCAGACGATCCCTGGGCTCAGCAAATGCTGATCAAGTGACTGTCTCTCTCTCTGGCTTAGGATGGAAAGACGCCAGGAAAGATCGAAGCATCTACCCCGACGGGTTACACCAGGGCTTCTAGAAGGGATTTTGTGGCAGGAGGGAGGGGGGCAGGAGATTGAATGTCTCTGTGACTCGCGAAGGGCAGCATGATGGATGAGCAGTGGAAAGCCCTTCCATGAGACACGCCAGACCTGCTGCAATAGTATCACTCCCAGGAGCCCAGAATTCGATTTCCCTGTGGATTTATAGGGGGCAGCCACCTGCTGGCTCCTCCTGGCTGCTGCCGAAGGAGGTCTGTCTGCAGAAGACCCAGCAGATGAGAACTGAAGGAGGTTTAGACCCTCTTCCCACAAGCTTTCAGCTTCCTGCAAATGGACAGCACTTTGAGAGTTTCCTGACTTCTGCAGATCCTGCTCTCTTCCCAAACAGTCTGCTGCTTTTCAGTTTGGATACACAGTGCGACAGATTTACTTCCTCTCTGTCTATCAAGAAGAGGTTGAAGGAAATTGAAGCCTCTGACGCTCCACATTCAGCCTCTCCTTGGCAGAAGAGAATGGGGAGGTGGGGAGGCTGGGAATAACAGCCCCTCATCTTGAACTGAGTGTCTTTCCTGGTTCTGTGACCACCTGGAGTCCCCCTGCACATTTCCAAAAGCAGTAGAGAGGAGCCAAAGACCCAGGCACTGACCACGTCAACATCCCCCCCCCCCCAAGGTTGGGGGGGGGACCCCCCCCCCCCCAAGGATGGAGGAGTGAAATAATGTGCTTAAAAAGGGCATGCTTAGGGCTGGCGGGTTCAGGAACCCTGTGGCCTCATCCCTGCTTTTCTGGCTCTCCGTAGCTGTGATCTGCTTCTGCCAGCCTCTGCATTTTTGTATCTTTTTCTCATTGCGTGGCCCCCTTGTCTTTAAAAGGCTAAACTGCTCTGTACTAAATTTGGTCACGCAGCGCTCCAAGATTCCCTGGAATGTCCTCAAGTTTCAAACAACTCTGACAGCGAGGCAAGCCCGCCCCCGGGCGTGGGGATTGGCCTCTCCTTTCCTGGCCAGGCAGTTGGCAGGTCTTATTGGCCGCTGTTTAGACCAGCCAGGGTCCACTAGCCCCTGCTGCAGGAGGCTGCGTCTGTTAACACTGCAGCACCTGTGGCGCTCCAGGGCCAAGGAGTGCAGTCCTCTGCCGGCCAGCGGGGGGTTCACACACAAGGCCACTACTCCATTCAGATCAGCTCCCCCCTCCCTCCCCTGCACACCAGGACCCCCAGAGCCTGAGGCAAGAGCCCCAGCCCATTTTGCCAAGATGTCCAGGGTAGCCAAGTACCGTCGGCAGGTGAGCGAAGACCCCGACATCGACAGCCTGCTGTCCACCCTGTCTCCAGAGGAGATGGAGGAGCTGGAGAAGGAGCTGGATGTGGTGGACCCGGATGGGAGCATCCCTGTGGGACTGCGGCAGAGGAACCAGACGGAGAAACCATCCACGGGCGTGTATAACCGGGAAGCCATGCTCAACTTCTGTGAAAAGGAGACCAAGAAACTCCTTCAGCGGGAGATGTCCATGGATGTGAGTGAGCACAGCTCTGCAGGGAAGGGGAGGGAGGGGGGCTGGAGGCCCTGACTTGTGACGAGGGTGCTTCTTCCCTTAGAAAGGCAAAGAATTTGTGCTTGTTGGCAAAAGAGTTAAAGCTTCAGAACTGGTCACTGTCCATTGAACCAACAGTGGGAGCCTCTTACCCCTAATTTCTGTTTTATTAGCAGCAGTCAGATGTGCTGGAGGAATTCAATATCCCACAAGATCACATAGGGCCACTAGTTGAATGGGGGCTGGAAGGTATCCTTGAAGGCTCACTGTTGCATTGACTCCATTCTGGTCCCTCCATACCTCCTTTTCCCTGATATTCACCTCATCTTATTGTGGGGAGGGGCTAAAGGACAGAATGATGTTTGTAGTCTTCTGCCAGTCACTCAGGAAGAGAGAGCTAAGCCCTTCTTAGGGACAAAGAGGAGAAAGACTCACTTTTAAGCCCCCAGACTCCATGGGCATCTCATGGCACATGGACAATGGAAGAGGCTCAAGGGCAGACAGGTTTTCCAAAGCAGTGGGCTGGGGGCCAGGGACCTGTGGGTAGGAAACATGTCTTAACCTGATAGCTTCAATTCTTTTCCCAGGAAAGGGAGGGAGGGTATTTTTGTTTTGCATTTTCTAGAGGAGCCTCTTGAGGGATTATCCCGTCCTTATTTTGAGTATTTTACCAGGAGGGGAAAAAGGAGGGAAAAGGAAAAAGGGAAACAGTCTGTTTCATAAGCATCTGCCCACATCTAGGATGGGTTTAAGCACAACTTGCTTTCTGGTTTTCTGGATTGGCATAGAGGAATTATTTTCTTCACTTGCATTCATGCATGAGTTTTCTTTGGACAAGCTAGATTAGCTCCAAATGAGTTATAGGATCCCTTTGTCCCAGGAAAAGTGTCTAGTGGGATAAGTGTTAAACCTCGGCTAGTTCTCGTCTTCTAGTTAGTCATGTGTCTTGTGCATTCTCTCTTACTTATGAATTATTGCAAGAAAAAAGTAAGTCTCAGTTCTCATCCTTTGTTGTAATTCCATGGAAACTGAGGTACAGAGTTACAAATGACATGTTCGTTCTCACAGAGAAACTGAGAAAGGGAATGTTATCATCTGAAACTTCTGTGGACTGTCTGGCTGGGTATGAAATTATGTTGCCCTCTAGTCAAAGAGCACATTGATGGACACATCCCTGACTCCTTGAGTGTAGGGATGGGGAAGTGAGGAGGAGGAGAGAAATAGGTGCAGCAAGGTGAGTAGAGGAGCTGGAGCTCTGTCTCCAACCCTGCTGCCCCTGGGCCCATGTTCAAGGCTTCACCAAAAAGTGTTGAGTGTGAGGGAAGCCTGAAGGCTCAGGAATTTATTGTCCTGATGCACTGATACAGCGTGATGAATACCAAAACTTTTATGGGAAAAATATTATAGGACTTACTGTGAGGGCCTGGTGGTGCTCAGAGAGCTATTGGGAAATGGACAGACAGAAATGAAATGCAGCCAGTGACTTCGGTGCCACTGGAAACCCCCCAATGGGACCCCAAATGTTTACTCTAGAGTTTGGCTCTACCTTTCTCTTCCTCCCAGTGCCCAGGCTCTGTGCCCATCATTGCCTTGTGTCAGTAGCTTCTCATGCTTAGAAAGATACTCCCAAGGCTGAAGTCAAACAAAACACTGAATCACAAAGCCTGATGTTTAGGCTACAGGGAGTGTGATGGACTCTCATGCTCCTGCAAATGTCATTCTCATAAGCCTTTTTTTTCCCAGCCTATTAATACCATGACAAGCCTCTCCGCCCTGGTCTACTCCCTCAGCTCTGTTTCTGCAGACAGAGCTGGTGAGTTAGAGAACAGAGGGCAATGTATGTGTGCTCACATGTGTATCTTTGGTATAAGGAGACACCGTTGAGACCATTTAACCCTGTGGAGCTAGGCTGTTCTGGTCACTTGTCCTTCCTCTCCTAACCCAAGGGCATAATGGCTGGCTGGAGTTTGGGGTGTATAGTGAGCTGCAGGCAGAGTTCATCTCTGTAACTCTGGGCAAGTGGGAATGAAGCCTGAAAAGTGACTTTTTAAAAAACATCATTAGCGGGGCTGGCAGGTGGCATGGTTAAGGTGCTGGACTTCCACATGGCTGACTATGGTTCAAGTCCCGGGCCGATGGTTTGCCTTCTCACTCTCCCTTCCTCTCTCTCTGGTCAAATTGAATAATAATAATAATAATAATAATAATTAATTCTTTAAAAAAAAAAACACCATTAGTAAAATAGTGAGTGCATGGTGAAGAGCTGGGATTTAAGTAACAGGAAAATCTGGCTTGCATATTATGCCTCTTACAGTCGATATGACTAAGTGACTCACTAGTTAGCTAAGTCTCAGTTTCTTCATCTATTAATATAAGCTGAGGACGATAGTACCCATCTCATAGGATCACTATGAAAATTAAAATGTTATTAAAAGGATAATAATATAAAGCACTTAACGCAGAGCTTGCCATGTAGTAGACACTCAAGGAACGGCAGCTCTGGAATTAATTCACTTGGGTCAAGGAACCCAGAAATTGGTGAAGTCTCTACCCCTGCCTGTGTCCTCCTTTCCTTGGTCCCTTCCCTCAGTGGCTGCACAAGCCAGGTTTTATCAGCGGCCAGAGTAAATGAGCACACCCTGGCTACTCTGGGGGGGGCCAAAACATGGCGGACGCAGATGCAGACGCAGGCGCGGACATGAAGAGCAGGTGGGACTCAGGCTGCCGGGCTGGCTAGAGCCCTCCCCACCAGTGAGAGTCCAGAAGGCAGTCATAACAGAGAGTGACTGTGAGCCTCTGTCCCTCGACCCGAGGAAGAACCACAGCGTGAGCGTTTACTGAGAGTAAACGTACCAAGTATGTCCACCTTCTCTTATATTGAAGCCTCAGGATACTTGGGAGATAGTTAATATGTGTTTTAGAGAGGTTTTTGCTATAGGGTATGCATGCTCACCAGAAAGACGGAGAGAGAAAGCGAGAAATCCCCCCCCCCGGGGGGGGGATGGCCATAATACCTTCTCTTCCATTCTCTTCTTGGGATCTTGGGCATGCACGCATGTGTGCATGCACACGCGCCCAGTGTGAGTTCAAGCCACCAGGTCCAGGACTCTAACCATGGTCAACTACATAGGAATCCAGTGACATAGCCATTGTGCCATCTGCTGGTCCCAAGGAGGTAGGCATTTTTTTAAGAATTATTTTATTTAACTGTATTTATCATTATTATTATTATTATTTTCATTTGATCAAACAGAGACAGAGAAAGAGAGAGCGGGAAAGTGAGAAAACCAGTCACCAGCCCCAAGACTCGAACTATGGTCAGCCATGTGGGAATCCAGCGCCTTTAACCACCACGCCTCCTGCCAGCCCCAGAGATAGGTATTTTTATCCCCATTAGACAAGAAGTAAGCCTCAGAGAGGTTGAGTAACTGTCCCACCGTCACCCAGCTAATCTGGCCTGCCTGATGTTGAGATCTGTGCTTCCTCCTCTCTGCCTGCTAGGGTGCAAAAAGCACAAAATGCCAGTCCTTGAAGAACGTATAATCTAATCAAAGGTGCACAACACGTACAGCTAGACCCACCAGAGAGCAGAGTCAGGGCATCAGCTGTGGCCGTGTGTTGGCGGAGGGGCACTGGCTGTTTCAGGCCAGCTGAATGCGTGCTCCCACCCCCACGGGTAGGAACAAAACTGGTAAAACCAAGCGTGGCTCAGGGAAGATAAATCCTGACTAGACACTGCATGGGCTGAAGGGATTTTTTATTCATTCCTTTTAGGGGTGTTAATGGTATTGTGGTTAGCCTTTTTTTTTTTTTCCTGTTTTAGTTTTTTGTTATAGGACGAGTACACTCACTGGAGAGAGGCAGAGAGAAGAAAACTGAGAAATCACTCCCCAACCCCCACCTCACAATCCTTCTCCTCCATTCTTCTCTTGTCATTTGGGGCATACATGCACATGTACCTGGCGTGTTTTTCAAGTCCAGGACTTGAACCACAGTCAGCCATATGGGATCCAGGTGCCTTAACCTCTGGCCACCTGCTTGCCTTGTGACTAGATGTTTTAAATGGTTCTTGTCTCTTGTTCATAAATACCGAAATATTTATGAGAAAAGTTTATTAGACTAGGATAATTGCTTAAAAGGAATCTGGCCGGGGTATGTATGGAGTAAGATTGGTCACATGGTGAAAACGGTTAAACTGGGCTATGGGTCTGCATGGGTGTTCACTACACAATCCTCTCTACTTTTATGTACTATTTTCTCTACTTTTATGTCTACAAGGGGATTTTTTTTTAATTCACAGAAAAATGGAATTAAAATACGAGTTATTTTGGTGTCAAAAAATGTGAAATATATGCACAGTTGTGTCATAATATGCATGTTCCGTGAACTTTTTAAATATTTTCTTTGAAATTTTCCATAAGAAAAAAAAATTCTAAAAATAGACCAAAAGTGGGATGCAGGCCCAGTTTGGGTCTTTAGCTCTGGCTTTTCTTGGAGGAGGGGAGCCCAAGATTCATTCTCTGGTGATCTCCAGGCATGGCTAGGCCCCTGGTCTGAACATTCCAATGCTACTCTATCTCAATTCCCTGGGACATCACTTTTTTTTTTTTTTTTAAAGTTTTGTTATAGGGTGCGCGCAGGAAAAAGAAAGACAGAAAAAAGGCGAGACATCATGCCCAGGGGCATTGGCCTTGCCACAGTCTCTTCTCCTCCATTCTCTTGAGACTTTGGGCGTACACACAGTGTACACACCTGGCATGTCTCTCAGGCTGCTGGGTCTGGGACTGGAACCATGCAGTTGGCCATGTGGGATCCAGCTGCTTTAACCACCATGCCACCAGCTGACCCACCATCACTTCCTTTTTTTTTCCAGGAATTATTTTATATATTTATTATTTAGAGGTTTTTAGTCATAGGGCATACATGCTCGCTGGAGAGAGAGCAAGATAGAGACAGAGGGAAAGTGAGGAGTCACCCTCTGG